AACAAAGATACTAAAGATGTCAAACTTTTGCCGGAACACATGCCAGTCTTAGCACAAAAACACATGCCAGTCTTAGCACAAAAGTAATGTCACCCATCACCCCTTTCCTCACCACGCACAATTAACAGTTCACGGAGTAAGAAAATAGCTGGCAGTTGTCTTCATAGATGAAGTCAATGTAGTCTCATTCCTTTGCCAAAAGGCAGGGAAAGCAGTTCCTGATGGCTCTTCTCCCCAGGGCTATTCAAGGCCAGTTGATGCAGAATGACTAGGAAGGACAAGCTTTGGCTTCAACGTGGATTTTTAACCAGGACTCTCACTACTTTAAAAAAAATGCTTTATTTTTTTTCAAAAAGAGCCTTGGCTTTTGCTATTTTTACTGACAGTCATTTTGAAAGTAGCAGTGCTTAAAACATTTTAAGTCTAGATATCTCTATGGAAACCCAAGAGAATTCACATTTTATGGCCAAATGACTACCTACCTAGATCCTCTCGGATCACTATAGGCCATCTGTGAAACCAGAAACATCTTAGACCTATTTTCCCAAAACTCTATCTTATCAGATATATAATTAAACTGATATAATTATTACTTTTGCTGAGGAAAAGATTAGGAGAGAACTTATTTCTGAGGCTGCCTTTTGATTTTTAAGACATCCCTATTTAAAATATTATTAGGAAAAGAATTTTGTAAAGAATTTTATAAATTTTGGCAGAGGTAATAAAAGAGGAAGAACGCAATCAAATAATTTAACAGTTGCTTTGAAATATATGTCATTAATTTTCTTCCCCCTCCTTTCCATCAATGTTGAATACATTTTCTTTTAAAAAATGTAACAGTTCCTCTCCCCAGACTGCATATTCTTTGCAAGGGAGGGGAAAAAAAACAATAATTATTTGGCGAAGAAATCAGATAACACTTTCACCAGGTAACCAAAATTAACATCACCAGTGAGGGACAGATGGCCTTTAGGGGCCTCCAGATGTGACACTCTGAGAACATAATATCACCTAGAATGCATAACCTGAATCTAATCATGAGGAAACACCATTATAAAAAAATTAAAAGAAAGGAGGTGGAGCAGAAGGGTTGTATTATTTTTAAAATGTCAATGTCACAAAAGACAAAGAAAGGCTGTGGAAATGTTCTAGAATAAAAGAAGCTAAAGATACATGAAAATCAAATGCAATATGTGACCTTAGAATGGATCTGATATTGCAGGGGGGTGGGGAAAATTCTCTAAAGGAGGTGAAGGGGTCAACAGACAAAACTGGACTACAAATGGTATATTAAAGTATATTATACCAATGTTAAATTTACTGATGTCAATAACTATACCATGATTATATGAGAATTATATAAGAATGTATGATGCATATAACTTTCTACTAAATGGTTCAGAAAAACATATATTGATATATATGTATATATATATATATTTATATATACATATTTTTTAGAGGGAGAGAGAATAATAGATATCAAATGATAAATCTAAAGGTATAAAATGTTAATAGGTTTAAGGAATAAGGGATATATAGATATTTCTTCAACTTTTCTCTAAGTTTGAAGTTATTTCCAAATAGAGTTTAAAGAAAAATTAACAGTTCTTGCCTACGTTGGAGTTCTTGGCTATCTATTTTCTCTCCATGATATTCCAAATACAACACAGTAAGGGAGAGTGCCAAGTCACAAGAAAACACAGATATTTTAACATGATCTTTTATCAGTGACTGATGGTGCCAAAGCATTACACACTGCCCGTTCTCAGCAGATTCCGGTGCACAGACCAGTAAACATTGGGTACTCCAGCAACTTAGATGCAATCATTTCTCACTAATTTCTCCAAACAAGGCTGTGATTCTAAAACCTCTGTGCATCCCACAGCTTGCAGAATTATGTCATACACAAAACAAGCCTCTCAGCTGGTCTCTTTGACACACTACATGAGTATCAATCAATTGGATTCAATCTTTCTAACTGCAGCATTCCAATATTTTAAGCCACATCTAAGTAACTAGAGAATATGCCACTCAGGAAGCAGGATCACCTCATCATACATCCTCAACTCCTCACCACCACTGCCTAACTGCTGTCAAAATCCCACAGCCTTCACATCTGTGAGCCCAAAATGGTCCTGTATCAGTGCTGGAGGTGCTGACCTCCCATCTTCAGTACTCCATCCAAACTGATTGTTCCCCAAAGCAATGGAGGGAACTGTGCCTAAGACCAAAAATTTAGGAGAGACTGTTCTGTAAGTCGATCACTGGAAAGAGAATCAAAAAAGTATTAACCAAAATTAAAATTTTCAGCCATCCTTAGGAATTTGGAATACTTACCCATTCTCCAAAACACAGCAAAGACAGAACATATATATATAGTGGGTAAGTCTTTTCTGCCCTTCCCTCTTTTTAGTTTTATTATTTTCTTGATCCTTTTAGTAGTGACTATCTCTGGGGTAAAATGCCCAGGTACTATTTGGCTTTGGCTTTTTATCCCAGATATTCTCCTTATTATTAATTTTTCCCTAAATTTCAATCAATAATTTTATTTAACAAATGTTTACCAGGAACCTACTTGACATAAGATGCTTGGCTGGACTTAAAGGGTGGTACTCCCCAGAAAAAAGTTCCCAGGGTTTTTATCTTCCAATAATCCCCAAGAAAATGACATGAAGACAATAAGTGCAATGAAGTCTGCTTGCAGAAAAGCATAAGAAGCAGAAATGAATCATGACCAATGGCAAAAAGGAATAACCTAGTCAAAAAACTAAAATTTAATGAGAAGATAATTTTTAAAGTAGGTGAGGGCTTCCCTGGTGGCACAGTGGTTGAGAGTCTGCCTGCCGATGCAGGGGACACGGGTTCGTGCCCCGGTCCGGGAAGATCCCACGTGCCGCTGAGCAACTGGGCCCGTGAGCCACAACTACTGAGCCTGCGCGTCTGGAGCCTGTGCTCCGCAGCAAGAGAGGCCACGACAGTGAGAGGCCCGCGCACCGCGATGAAGAGTGGCCCCCGCTTGCCACAACTAGAGAAAGCCCTCGCACAGAAACGAAGACCCAACACAGCCAAAAATAAATAAAAAAATAAAAAATAAAAATAAAGTAGGTGAAATTGAAGGGAAGGTACATGTAACATTATTATAGATTTAAAATCATGCATATTCTTCTCCATAAAACTTCTCAAATGCAGATAAAAACACACATGTACAAAACCAAGTAATTATAAATCCTCTGAAGCATGTAACTGTGATTAACTGCTACTCCTGGCAATATAAAAATACTTTACCACAATTACATTCCAGCCTGTAATGTAATTCAAAACAAACAAGTCAGAGACATCGCTCAAATGGCAGAACCAACAAATACAGATGCTTTGCATCAGGAAATAAATCCACTGAAGAAATGCAACTGAGGAGCTGCCCTCCAGGGCCTGGAGCTGGGCTTCTGGTGGAACAGCGAGGCCCCCTTCTGGGCAGATGCAGAGCATCCCAGCATGGCTCTGCAAAGCTGCAGTTCACCAGAGGCAACACCTGCCGCAGTCAGGAAGCATGGATACCTGGGACTTCCTGCTGTGGATACCCTTTGAAGGTTGTGCTGACACTTTCACATTTTAGTTTGCTTTTTGTTTTTTGTTTTTTGCCACGCCGCACGGCATGTAGGATCTTAGTTCCCTGACCAGGGATGGAACCCTTGCCGCCTGCAGTGCAAGTGAGGAGTCTTAACCACTGGACCTCCAGGGAAGTCCTTTTACATTTTAGATTTTAAATTCTAAATCTGGATTTTTATAAAGAGAAATAATTGTGCTTGATATCAGATGAAACTAACCATAATTCTGCAACCAGCATTCCCACCACCAAATGGCACGCCCACCCCTTCTACCCCGTTCTGTTTCTTTTTGCCATAATTTTTATCACCCTCTAACATACTGTGTAATCTGTTATGCTCATTATCTGTCTCCTCCTGCTAGAATATGAGCTCCATGAGGGCAGGATTCTTTGTTTTGCTCACTGCTTCAGTGAACGAACAGAGCCTGGCACAGTTTAGTTGCTCAATAACAAAGAAGGAGTTGTCCATTTATGCATTTCTTTTACTGTTAAGACTATTCATCTTCAAAGAAGGCATAAATAAGATTTTACAATAGCAGTATGCTGTAATTTTTAAATGATACGTAAGCACTTGTTTTAACAGTACGTATTTTCTCTAAATGTTTTATAAAAGCAAAAGTCTGCTCTAAGGACCATAGAATCACGGTCTATATGTATATGATTCATATACAATTTCCAAGGAAGTCACATCCTTCCCCCCACACCCTGGGAGGACATAGTGGCTGCCAAGAATGAAGGGTCCGAGTCTGAAAGGCCAGGCCTAGACCAGGTGTCCATAGGGCAATGTGCTCCATGCAGACACACCAGGTAACTGAGGCCAGATATACACATCCTCTGAAAGTCAGCACTTCCCTGGACCGAGCATAATGATTATGGCAGGAAGAGCAGGCACTGCTTACTAATTTCTAAAACGTCAATCTTTAATTTTTCCCCTTCTTAAAAATGTTCTTCCAGCTTGTGGAAAATCTAGGAGTTGTTTGCACTTGTCAGACTTTTTTTTTTTTTTTTTTTTTTTTTT